ACCCTTGTCCAGCAGGCCGAGGCAAAGAGGAAGTCACAAAAGCAGCAAAACCAGGGAGCTGGACAGGGGACAGATTGGATTTGTCTTCAGTGTGGAAGAGATTGCCACTCTCGAACTGGCCTCTTCAGCCACACTAGAGGCTGTTCCAAGTCCTCCATACAGAGCACGACACCATGGTCTTTCGAGACAGAAGGATGCCTAACTAGGTGTGTGCCTGTCTAGGGTTCCAGTGGGTATACCATTGTATCACCAAACTGTTTTATCTAGGGGTTGCCTGGCCATGAACTGGGGTAAGGGGGGGGTCACCTTAGACAATTGAACGGATAATGTAGCTGAGTGGGAGATGCCATTTCCACCCACCCACTCCTGCCTGTGCCATAACCCATTGCCGCTTCCCTAAATTGGCTGCCTCCTAGCCAGAAATTTACAATGGCTGGTTCATAGGGAGGTCTTGGAGACAAGGCACTGTGGGAAATACAAAAAAAGCAATCCCCCCCACAAAAACTCATCCAAAACAACAAAAAATTTTGGGGAGGGATGGAGAGAAACAAAATTAATTCACCTCTCCTGCTGTTTGTTTGTTTGTTTTTTTGTTTGTTTATTAATCACTTTGTTTCTTCTCTCTTGATCCCAAAGTCTTCAATTTGAAACACATCATAACCAGAAAAAGGTATTTATTTATTTATTTGATTTTTACCCCGCCCCTCTAGACCATGTCTATTCGGGGTGGCTTACAAAATAAAACAGAACAGTATAATATATATATAAAATCATAAAATTACAATTTCAATTTAAAACAATTAATTTAAAGAGAGGATTACCAAGATGGAATAGCAAAGACAAGAAAAAAGGAGAAAGACTTAATTGACCGGAGGGAAGGCCTGCTTGAATAACCAAGTTTTTAACTGGCTTTTAAAAACACCCAGCGAGGGTGCCAGCCGAATTTCAGTGGGGAGTGTGTTCCACAGCCGAGGGGCGACCGCCGAGAAGGCCCGGTTTCTTGTTTTCTCCTTCCGGGCCTCCCTCGGCGTCAGTCCCCTCAGCCTCCCCTGTTGGCTATGTCGGGTGATTCGGGTAGATCTGGGTGGGAGAAGACGGTCTGTTACTAAAAACCTAGTTCTTCTTATGGATAATGTTCTACCTACACAATAAACTGGGACATAAGCCCTGACCAAATGTCAGGTGGGGAGCTTAAAAGTACTTAATTTTATGTAGACCCTGTAATTTCCAAATACTGTTGTCATGACTCTCCAATTGCACATGCCAAAGGTCTTCTTGTGAGTATGCCAATCAATTCCTGAGGTTTTTTTGGGTGTATCTCTACTTGACCTATACATTCTGCAGATGAAAGGTCCCAGGTTCAGCCCCAATTCAAGCATATATACTTTCTATCAAGTGATTAAAAAATTCCATGCAAGCACCAGAATTTCATTGATTCTATAAAGGTTAGATTTGGCACATTCTCTATCAGCTGCCTGTCGTCTGATTCTGTGGAAACCTCATTTGTGAGCGATGTACAATCCAAAACATATACTGCTGAATCTCACACAGCTTTGTGAGACAAGATTTCATATGTATTGACAAAGCTAACAATCTAGTTGGGAAAAAAAATCTAGATTTACCATTTAAAAAAAAAGAATCCAGTGGTTTCATCATTCTCTAATCTCAGCACTATTTTATCTGGACCAGCTGTTGGGGTCCAGAGTGAAATTTAGCATAACTCAAAGTGTCAGTCTTCTTTGAATTATTAATGTTCCTTTGTTTTTAAATTGTTTGCCTGTCCTGCATGTTATTATGAGGAAAACTACAGGTCAAACAAATGTGTGTGGAATGAACCTTTATTTCTTTTAGTTTTCACCCACAAGCATGAACACAGAGTTATGTCTATGTCTGTTATTCCCATTTGTAGGACTACTGCAGTCTATTATGTCATCCTTAAAAGCTAAGCATTATGAGCTTTGTAGGGGTAAAAAGTGGAGGGATAATGTTAAGAAAACATTTTAATGACAGCATAAAGCCAAATGTTCAGGTTTAATTGTTTGTATTTCTGGAGGGAAAATATATGTATCAATGACTAACCCATTATAAGCTTTGTCCATTAACTTTCTTTTATTTGATAGCATGGAAAATATATCTGTTACAACAGAAAGATTAACCTGTTCTTTAATGTCAGTTTATAATGATGCATAATACTCCAGTACAATTTTTCCCAGAGAAAAAGGAGATAACCGTGTAAGGGAATCAGCCTGTTGTTGATAGCCATGTTTGGTTACCTAACTGATTAAAACTGAACGTCTCTTGAAGGGCAGTTGATATTATTGGATTTTTTTTGGTAAAAAAATGTTTGATTTAAACCACTCAAATTAGTAGAGAACTGATTTACACAACCTATTTTGTGTGGAGGGTTTTCCTGCACAAATGCAATTACAGCCTTTAATGGATGAATGTAATGTGAACATAGCAATCATAAGTAAACATAAATAGGTATAGAAAGCACCAGCCAGGATCATAAAATGTGTGTCTGGCATGACCAGTTTGGAAAGTTGGCCTGCTGTTTGAATAAGACATGGTTACCCCTCCCAGTGCTTAGGTTCTGAGGATGCTCTCAAAGCCAGCCACTATTCAAATAGATGGTCTGCTTCCTCAAACAGCCAGGCACTGAGGTGTGGAAAACCTCTGCTTAAAGGTTGTAGCTGCATTCTGTTCCAGTGACATGCAAACACTCCTGGCAGGATGAGGCAGCTGCCAGCAGGCGGGGTAGCCCCTTATTCTGCCCTTTTGCTTAGAGGTAGAGCATAAGATCAAAGGGTTGTTTTAGCCAAGCCTAGTTACGATTAGGTAACTAGCATCCTATCTGTTTCTCTCATAACATACTATGTAATGCTAAGTCAATAAAAGAGCCCTCAGGGCATTGCCAGTTGGCTCCGCTGGCTCGGACTTTCGCTGTCAATTCCTTTGTTCTCTCTAAGGCAATTAGACTTCCTTTGTTCCGTGATCACCCACACTGAGGCATGGAGGAGATAGCAGCAGCTTTATCTTCACTGCTCCAACACTCTGTCACCTGAGGTAATTGCTTCACCTTGCCTAATGGCCTAGTCAACCATAGCAGCTGTTATTGGTTGCTAGTTGTAGCTGTATTTGCTCAGCTTATACCAATCTTTCCTTGTGCCAAGAAGACTGGACTTGCTGGACAGAGGAGAAAACCCAAAACTTAACATTTGAGCCACCTTTTAGATACAGGAGACATATATTTCCTGATATGTTTCTACTTCACTTTACTTGGTATTTCTCCACAAATTAGTGGTTTGAATTCTGAGCAAAAACATCAGCCCCCTCCAAAAGAAATAACAATTAATTGAGAGCCTAAAGCCTGAAGCCCTGGTCACACAAAGGAAATGTTTTCTAGTTCTTTGGATATTTTCCATACCTCAGTTGTACTGAATCGTGGTCACGTGGTTTATATTCCAGGACGAATATTCCAAGAATTTTAGCAGTACCAATTTATTTCCCCCTTTTTGAATCGTAATGGCTGATTACCCCATGGTACTGGTTTATTTTCTCTCTTGCTTCAAGGGACAATTTAGCCTCTTTATAAATATATATATTTCAAAAATAATATTTATTGATACATCAATATATCAGAAACAAGTCTCCCTCTAAGTTGCGTGACTGCTCAAGCATGACTGACTCCTCCCCTGCTCCGCACAGCTTCCTCCTCCTCCATGCACCCACAGCTATCATTTTGAGCCCCTTTCATTCCTGTCACATCGGAACCTATGCAGGACTTGCACATGGAGGGGTGAAAATTTGAAGGAACATTGATGAGAAAGGGGGTTCTGTTTAGGAAAATGATCCTGAAACTAGGATCCTAAAACTAATCCTGTTTCACCACCCACATTGTCATCTTCTTGTTATGTCCCGTCAAGGTACAGGTACTTATAGCAATCCTAGTATAGTTGTCATGGTAACTGAGGTATTTAAGGTGACGAAGACAGACACATTCCCCCTAAAATATTTAATAAATGCTTCACTTTAATCAAGAAAACTGCAGTTTCCCTCTTTGCTGCAAACAGGAATCACCATTTTCACTCGTGAATCAGGGTGAGAGAGAAAGAGTAAATTCTTATATCTTACTAAGAGTTGCGCCTTACGAATTTTTGGGGAAAGGAAAGTTTCTTGACATTTCCAAATTTCAGATTAACTGCCAAGTATATTGACGCTAGCGAGCTATCCTAGTCAAAATGGATACTCATTGCTACATAAGGCATTTGGGGGAAATGTTTTATAGTCTGTGAAGCAAACATGCTACTTTACTAATTTAGTTATTATATTTATGTTTTCCAAATGATTTTCTTCTTATGCAGTAAGTAAGATTAATTTCCTGGCCTTTTCTCATTAATCACAGATTTTCATAGGGTAATGAAAGATTTTTTTTAAAAAACATGGTGTCGTGTGGGATTAAGGAGATTAAATCTTTGACATCACTCTTTTGTCTGTGTAAGAGCTCTATCAAAGAGTACACTGAGTGGGTGTTAGAGCACTGGCTAGGAATGTGCCCACAGGCAATGAAAGAATTGATGAAAATGGGGACAAGCTACATACAGTCTTCTCATATGTAGTTTTCTGAATATAAAACTGCAGCATCCAGCTGATGAAGCTGTACTGTACAATATGGATTTTATAGAATTATAAAACTTCAGGGGAAAAGAGGAGACACTAAAGAAGAATGAAAGCTGAGATGCTTTTGCCTCCTATATTCTCCAGTGCCTCATATTATTTACATCCTCTTCACTGTATGATGTTTCTTAAAATCTGGAGCACCAGAATGAAAGGATACTGATGCAGGCTGACTGAACCTGTTTTATTCCAGTGATTGGAAGACATGGTACTTGCAATAAAACTGTTGCTCCTTTTCACCTGTTTTTGGCCAACTTCTCTTTTAAACAATAATAGTGACCACCATCATCATTACCATCACCACCATCTTCAAAGGTCATTTATGAAAAGGCATAATAGGTGAGTAAGCTGGTTACTGGGCATCATGCCTGCCATTATGTTTATGTACTCTCTGTCTATCACTATCCTAAAGCTGACTTACTTCTGGCTCAAGCTGAAAGGTTGTTTTTGTTTGTTGATTTCGTACCAGGAAGATAAGAGAAGAATGCAAACGAAAGAGCATTTGGAGATGAAGCCAAACTAGTACTCTGACAAAAATCATCAAAAGTAAACACTTAAGCCAGTAAAATTTTCTTTCCAATATTTCTAATATGTGTTTTGCATATATGGAGTTTGTTTGCATTACATGCTAACGGGTGATCCACTTATAATTCTGTATCTAGTACAATATTTGGCTGTAGCACAATATACTGCAATAGCCCAAAGATGTAAACTGTTAAAAGGCTAAAATAACTGTTTTAAAGCCCAGTTTGCTCTTTGCAATATATTGATACCTAAGTTAGTATGATAATTTTAGAGTTACTTTAGATATTAATAGTAAAGGTATACAATGAAGATTCTGTTTTTTATCAGGCTCAACTTTCATTCCAATCATATTACAGAAGGCTTGCTTTATAAAGTGTGCTTTAATTTATGGAATTGTTTTATCATCATTTTTAAATCCCAGTCTTAAAGCTAGTAATGTATTTCACTATTTCCAGTTGAGCATATGACTTTAATCACACTTAATATTATACACACGATTGCCTTGGGAGACAGTCCCCTGAAATGTTTGCGGACATTTTAACAAAAATGTAGTAAGGAGCTGTAAAACATTAGAATGAGGAGAATTTAAGGAAGACATTGTATTTATAATAATACACAATATAAGTGGGGTGGATCAACTTTCCAAAGCAGATTCCTAATAGAGCTAGGTTTTCCCATGTTTCATTTCCATCCTCCCTTCAAAAGGCTGCAACGGAAGAAGAGTGAAAAGCATTAGCCTACTATTAAATTATATGTTTTACATGGAGACATTCCAGCTGGGCATCTCCTCGTAGTCCTGCCTGAAATGCTTGAAATCAGCTGCTGCCAGAGGCAGGATAGAGGAAGGACAATGGTAAGATGTACTAAGACAATTAGTGCCAACCACAGAGAGGAGCACTGACTGAGAATGGAGACACTGGCTTCATTATCTCATTCTCTGAATGAGGTTCTATGTGCATGGCAGCCTTTTGATCTTCTTTGGACAGAAAGGATAGTGTCCTGACAAATCGATCAGTTGAACACAAGAAAAACTTACATAACAACAGATAAACTTTGAAAAACTGTGACTTAAGGACCTGGCATGATTCCTGAGATTATGGGATAATATCTCCTTCCAGAGTGAAATAAATCAGGTGTATTGGATTTGTTACCAATAAGATAGAAGGTTTAAGGCAGTCCAGCTAATGGAATGTTCTACAGACTGATGGGAGTTCCCTATCATCCTGCTATATAGAAAAAAACACCCTTTATTTTCTGAACCATTTAACAATCACCACCGTCACCACCAATTTGTTAAAAATAACACAAAATTTATTTTTTATCTTGTTTTAATATTCTTGCTGATATTGTTGTTAGCCGCCCAAAGTGGCCTGGTTGCCAGATGGTGCAGGATATAAATTAAATAAATAAATAAAACCCAGCGATATTACAAGCTTAGGTTTTTTGTATTTTTGAATAATGATAATAATCTTGCTTGTGGATGAAACATACTTCAGTGGACCCCACAGTCTTTTTTATTGGCTATGCCTAACAACAACAACAACAACGACAATGACAACAACAACAACTACTACTACTACTACTACTACTACTACTAATACTACTAATACTACTACTAATACTAATACTAATACTAATACTACTTCATTCAAATTAATCATTTGAATAATAATTATTATCTGGTAGAGAAGGTTTCAGAAAATGGGGATTTCCCCGATCCAATCTATTACTACTATGTCTGATGTGTTATGTTCAAGGTGTCTATCAATTTGGATCCAGAAATGCCAGATCTTGACGTTGTTGTTGTTGTTGTTGTTGTTGTTGTTGTTGTTGTTGTTGTTGTTGTTGTTGTTGTTGTTGTTGTTGTTGACACCTGATGTTCCCATGGGTTTTTTGGGGGTTGGCAAGTTATATTTTTTGCATAATGAGCAATGCACTAATTTTGCCATTCTGTCATGTCTAGTTTTGTAATCTGTGCAATCTTTTGACATTTGCAGATGAGGTGTGACCCAGTTTCATCTTTTTCTTGGCAGAATCAACATTTTCTGTTAGCAATAATTCCTTGGATCTTAGCTTTCATCACATTGGTTTGGAGTCCTTGTTCTTGTGTAGCAAAAATCAAGCCTTTGGTTTCTTTCTTAATTGACCCCAGTTTTAGCCATGCCCCTGTTGAATTACTATCATGCTTTCCATCAGTATTTCTCAGGTGTTGTCCATGTAGTTGTTTATTTTCCAGCTGTTTAATTTATTTTCAAATTATTGTTTCTTATATTGAGCCTTTGTTTCTGTTGTTTTCAAAATATTCTCCATTTTCATCACCTTAACTAAGTTTTCTCTACTTGTACTAATATAATCAATTAGTCTTCTTTTTTCTTCCTGTACTACCCACTCTATTTGCAGTAATCTATGGCCTCCAAATTTTCATGGTAAATATAGGCTGTCCACATCACTTTTTGGAAGTAGTGTATGTTGCATTTTCATAAGTTTCTGTGTTTTTTGATCTGATTTTGATCCATTTTGGATCCAATCTATTATTCCAGCTGGGAACTTACTGGAACTGCCCATAAGTTTAAGACTTTGATAGTATTTCCACCATTTAATTTTGATTTTAAGATTTTTCCACAGTCTTTTGATGTATTCTCTTTCTGTGAGTTCTTTAACTTTTATGTGCAAGATGTTATCTGCTTCTAGTATCCCAGGGTATTTATAATTTTCATTACTTGATAGTGATTTTATAATACAATATCACAGTTTTGAACTCTATTCCATCTAGTTTTTGAATCTTGCCACAGTGTATAGACAGCTACAGATTTGTCAATTCCAAATTTCATTTGGATATCTTCACTAAATATTTGCACTGTGTTCAGCAGTGATTCTATCTCTGTGGAACTTTTTGCATATAGTTTTAGGTCATCCATGTATAAGAGATGATTGGTTTTTCCTCCTTGTTCTGAAATATGGTAGCCCAACACAGTTTTATTTAAAATTATTAATATGGGGATTAGTGAGATGTTAAACAGTGATGGTGACAAGGAATCCCCCTGAAATATTCCTCTTTTGATGCCAACTTCCCCATTTTCTTCACCATGTGCCATTAAGACAGTTTTCCATTTTTCCGTGTTTTTCTTGAGAAATTTCTCAATATTTTTACTAATCCCAAAAAATTTTAGGCAGGTGTTAATCCAGTTGTTCAGCAATGAGTCAAATGCATTTACAGTTTATCCAGGCCATGTTAAGATTTGTCTTTTGTCTTTTTGCATTCTTTGGTGTCTTTTTGTCAACAAACAGCTGATATTTCATGACTCTTAACTTTTTAAAATTACCTTTTTGTTCAGTTGGGTATAGGCAGTTTTCAGTGAAATAATTATATATTGACTTTGGAAGTACTCCTGTGAGGAATGTGAACATTGTTGGAAGGCATGTAACTGGTTGATAATTACTGGAGTCATTGCCCTTTTGATTATCTTTTTATTATCAGAAATGTGTGGCCTGTTGTCATCCAATTTTCAGTTGTAGAATTTTGAAATAAGTGATTAAATTACACTGCTATATGTTGATGGAGATTTGTTAAATGTTTTAACCACAATCTGTGCAGCTCACCTGAAGCAGGTATAATCCAGTTTTTTACATCCTTTACTTGTCTCTTAATCATTTCAGTTCACCCATATGTTTTCCTTAAGTTTTTTTTTTAGAAATTTCTTTAATCCATGTCCAGCTTTCCCAAATTTCTTCCCAGAAATAATAATTTCAGAATCATCATCATCAAGAGCATCTAATTCCTTTATGATTCCTGTTTGGTGGAGATTCTAAAAAGGGAGTATTTAAATATCTCCTTCTCTTCAGCCTTCTTTTAAAGGCAATAAAATTTGAGGATTCACTTTTAATTGATACCAGGATTGCTGGATACTCCAGAACCAGATTTCTGAATGACATGTTGCTTTTTTAAAAAAGAATATCACATGAAAATGTTACTTTTGTTATGCACCTTTCATCAGATTAATATTGTGTCCCGGTTCCCTCTTCCAAAGCTGTTTGTCTGCATTCCCTTGGAAAGATGATTTTAAAGCATTATCATTCCATGTCTGCATAGGGAATGTTATTCTTTTGGACATTAGCAAATACTCCAATGTATTTATTAAAACGGATATCCATTTATTTTTAATACAGTTGACATTTCCAGGTAAGTAGGTATAGGGTTGCAGCCATAGAGATTTAACTGGACGATTAAGCATGAATAGATTGACCTTTGTACCTCATTAAACAGAGTGGGGCCTACTTCTGAGTAAACATGAATGGATTAAATTTCACTGAAAGGCTCCAGTCTTAGGTACACTAAATAGTGAGTCAACCCAGTGGAACATTTGATTAAATATGAAATTCCGTGACAAAATATGAGTACTCAGTCGTATTATTTACTTAGTTTTATATATGATATTATTGTCATATATAAACTATTATATATAGTTTATATATAATAGTTTATATATGTAAACGTACTACACTATATTTGAATGAATAAATATACATTGAAGTTGTTCTGGGGCTTTGGGAGAACTAGAATCTAGTTCCTCTTGAGCCATGAAAACTCGCTGAATACTGTTGACCTTCCTTCCTTCCTTCCTGGATTGTCTTTCTCACCTAATTATTTACTGTGGGGCATTCTTTATCTCCCTTAATTTCATCTTCACTATGAAGTAAGACACAGAGATCTGTGACAGAAGAAAATGCTGATGGAAACCATACCTTTGCATAATTAACAACTTAATTATTAAACTAGCAACAGGTGTCTTTTACTTGTCATCTTTATTTTGAAC